CACATGGATGGGGCAAGTCGGTGATACCCTTGCAAGCGCGGCGCCTCCTTTGCACAACATTCTGCCCCTCAATCGTCCCATTCAGCACCAGTATTCTGTCGTGTTGTCTGAAAGGTGCTCACTGCAGTCCGCGCGGCTTCAGCATCAGCTGGTCTCATGGCGTCGTGTTGTCTCGAAAGGGGCCAGACTGAGGTTCTTCTTTGAGTGCGGTCGTAAGTAGCTCGTTCCTGCTGTGCTGCAGGCCCGCGAAGAGGTCAAGCTGCCATTCAAAGTGCCCGACAGACTTCACGAGGGTTTCAGAAACCCCCGCGTGATGTCTGAACGCGGCACCGAGCGCAGCTCCCAGAATTCTGAGTTTGTCAAGGCGCGCATGCTGGCGCTGCTAAGAGAGCGCCTGCACCCCACCGCTTGCGAGGAGGGCGAGGATCGCTACAATTACAGCGATCGCACAGAGCCCTGCTACACGGGTCGGATCCACGAAAACCGTCAGAATCTGAGATGCTTCCTCAACCCGAACGGCAAGATCTATGCCCTCTGCTACAGCCAGAACACCGAGGGTGGGGACTCGGAAGATCCCTGCGTCAGCACAGCGTTTTGCCTTGGAGACCTTTACGAGGACGACAACTCGTACGAGAGCGGCGCTGTCCAGGTGGACCTGGAGCACCTCAGGCGGGTTCCCGACGCGTCGACCCCTAGGCTCGTGTCCGAAGTCGCAGCTGGTGTGAGGAGTGCGGACGACGTGATGAAGCTGAATGCGGTCACCAACGAGTGAGCATCACTCTTTCGATTTGCAGGCATCGTCTTTGCCGGTTGAGGCTTGAAGCATAATCTGTCGGTCTGCAGTACAGGTCGGTCAATATCTGTCAATGTCTGTTAATGTCGGTCTGCGAAACAGGCGCGCTTGCTTTCTGCGGGTTGTGAACACCCTTGTCAACCTCGTTTTCATAATAAAATCGGCTATCACACCAATTGTCGAGGCGCAAAGACTTTCTCTTTCTGAGAGAAATCTGAATAAAGTCCTCCCTGGCTCGGCTGATTCCAGGCCCCTGATCGAATTGATGCCAAACCAGTGAAAGGTGTTTGCTTTCAAGGCCCCCAAAACATCATGCTGAGTTTTTCAAGAGCCCCATAGGACTCTTCTCGCTTTGTGTCTTGAAATCTTTCACTGCCGTCCAGCCGGGTCCTCAGCAAGTGTCGTCATCTGCTCGCTCGTTTTTTTGTTGTCTTAGCTGACACAGTGCTGCCCGGATTCGTGTAGGTGGGTCGCGGGCACGTTTCCGCTGCTCGGCATCAGGTCCGGCGTCAACACCGGCAAGACGGTGTTCTGCGGGGCGGTCGGGGACGAGCTCTGGCGAGCCAGCGACCGCCCCATGACCACGATCATGATCACATACCGTGTGGCGCAAGCCCAGGACCTCAAGCTCCGCTTTCCTCGCACCGTGAACTACCTCGACCTGAAGGCTGACCACGCGGACGAGTGGTTCTCAGATCCGCGTGATGTGCGCGTCCTCCTGACGGCGCTCCAATGCCGGGAGAAGTTCCCTGAGGTAGTGGTTCAGGTGGACAGCCTTCTGCACCTCCGGCCGGAAGGCATCGGCGAGGTTGCTCCGTTCGACCTCGTGATCCTGGACGAGGTGGCCAGCATTCTTGCGCACCTCTCAGCGGCGACCCTGAGAAACGGCATTGAGACCAGTGAGCTGCTGCTGGAGATTGTGCGGCGGGGGAAGCGCGTGTTGGCCATGGACGATGGGTACGGCCAGCGGGAGCACGACTTCTTCCAGCTCGCAAACGTGCCCGGAAAGCTCATCATCAACACGAGAAGGGCAGCGGTGGGTCTCTCTGTCTCTATGTCTCGTGCAGGGCTTCCTAGGGGTCAAGCGGCTATTCAGCAAATGCTCGTACCGGGCAAGTTTCAGGTGTACCACAAAAGGATCGCTTACTTTTTAAGAAAGAAACGCATTGCTTTGTGGTACGCCCCTCCCTTCCTTTCGCCCCCTCTGCTGCTGGGGGCAACACGGCCGTACCAAGAAACATTCACGTGTACCACAAAAGGACCGCTTACTTCTTTAGGAAGAAAAGCATCGCTTTGTGGTACGCCACCTCCCATTTTTAAGCCCCCCTCCGCTGGTGCGGGCAACTAGTTGCTCAGGCTTGCTTAGAACCGAAGGCTTCATTCGTGGTGTGCAGCTGCTTTTGGTCATGCTTTGGTGAATCATTTCCGTACCGATTCATGCGCAGGTACCCCTGACCTTCCTCGTGTGTCAGGATGAGGAGAAGTGGCTGGCGCGGATCGTCGCTGATCTCGAAGCTGGCAAGAACGTGGTCGTCGTCAGCATGTCTGCGCGGGTCCTGGACCGCATCCGGGACCGGGTGACGAAGCACCGCGGGCTCGGGCTCGCAGACGGCGACATCCTAATCCACAAGGCCCTGAGCGGTGGCGACAACACGGCTCTGCTGAGGAACGTCGCTGTCAATTGGAAGGTCCGCCTGCTCATGTACAGCCCGACCGTGGAGGCCGGCGTGAACTTCGACGAGGACTGGTTCCACACCAAGTTCCTCTACATGTGCATGAAAAGCACAACGGCCCGTGCAGCCTGGCAGGCGACGCTGAGGGTGCGGCGAACCGAGAGCTCGGTGGTACACTGCTTCGTCCAGTCATCCATCTCGGTGTTGCTGTACTCTACGCCATTGATCCCGGCCTCACGCCTTCACACCTCCGAAGATCAGGTGAGCAAACCCTCACGTGAATAGAATCCCACGCACCCCTCTCTGCTTGACTCCCGTCGCTAAACTTTCCGTGCTCGAGCTGTTTGGACTTTCACGTGAACACTGACCGCTCGGGAGTCTAAACACACGCACCCCTCTCTGCTTGACCGCGGCGGCTCAACTCTCCGTGCTCGAGCTGTTGAAGCTTCTCGTGAATCTGCAATCCTCTTCGATATTCGAAGCTCGGTGTGCCTGTTGTGATTCTGATGGGTCTTTTGGCAGGGCATGATGGCCACGACACCGGAGGCATTGGATGCCGACGACGACGACGAGCCGGATCCACAGGTGACCGCATCTTCTCCTCCATGCGCCTCATATGCGCCTGTCCGCTTACTTGCAGCTTGGTGGGTCAGCTTGTTTGGTGGGCCAGCTTTGGCCATGGGCCAGACATGGTGGCCAGTTTTGGTGGGTTGGCCTTGATGGGCAATGCCTTGTGGCCAGCCTTGGTGGGCAGCCCTGGTGGGTCCGTTCAGCGTCTTTCTTTTCGGATATTTTTAAGAACTCAGAGGCCGGTTTGTGGTGCAGCGCCGTCAACTACAACTTCTTTGAGAAACTTGGAGGAATGGTTGAGCGGCCCCACAAGCAGTCATCACCACGGCGGTGTACCACGTTTCAATGTCTTTCTTCTAAGAACTATTAGGCCACTTTGTGGTACATCGCCATCGACTATGACTTTTCTGGGAACTTGGTGGAATGGTCGGGCGGCCCCACAAGCAGTGGTGTACCCGGTTCATTGTCCTTCTTTCTAAGAACTAAGAGGCTAGTTTGTGGTACAGTGGGTCAGCCCCGGTGGATCAAGCGTGGTAGACGAGACACAAAGCCCATCGGCGCATGAGGCTACACCCGTTAAATGAGCTTCGACCCCAAGTTGACAACTCCTTTCTCTTTTTCGCTACTAGGAGCCCGGGCTCGATCGCTTGGACCAGCAAGTTGCCGTCGATTCTGTCCTCGACGACGCTTCTCTACCGCGCGGTGGCGAGGGTGCTTCTCGCGGTGGGTCCTCCAAGCGGGCCAAGGTGGGAAATCTATGAGTTCGACGCGCCTCTTCTGATTTAAATAAGCTATTATGGTTTCCCGGGAATTGAAGAGATTCCTCCTGGGAAGCAAACAGAGAGTGTGCGAGAATGCTAGGGTACTCTCACAGAGTAGGAGAGGCTGGTCGCGTGCTCTCAATCCCGAGGAGGACACATATTGTCCGGCTGACAAAACAAGGAACCACATCTGATGAAGACGGTAGCATCAGCAGCACCTGGTTGCCTACCACTGTGCGAGAAGCTCCGCTCAACCTAATTATCCATTTCTTCACAGGGGCTCTTTGCGCCTCCGCGGCGAGTGACCACGGCTGAGACGTCGCAGTACCTGCAAGTCTGCAACAACAGAGCGACGGCGGCATGGAGGCGGGAATGGACACAGACCGAAGATCGTGCGAGGGTCGTTCGTCTGATCGAGGACGGCCCCCTCTTCCGCGCTTTTGCGCACACCGAGGCGGAGCGGCAGAACTCAAACGCGCGACTTCTCCACGAGTTCCAGCTGCAAGTCGCTCGTGCTGGCCATGTGGTCGAGATTGAGCAGGTCGAGGAGCTTGCTAAGAAGAAGAGGAGGCCAAAAGGGTTGGACCCAGATGCGGTCAGGATTATCGAGGCGAGGGCGATCGATGGGGCAGAGTATGAGAGGGTGAAGCGGTTGGTTCATGTGAAGAGGGATAGCGGGTCGCAGCATCTGGAGGTGATGCGTTACGAGGCCTGTCAGTATTACGGGCTCAAGGACATTGACGAGCACTTTCTCAGAGAGACGAAAGCCCACTACAAGGCGCCGTTCTCGGAGCAGCTCGACTTTCTGTTGAAGGTGCTGCTTCCGGGGAAGTTTCTCGATGAGGGGGCCGTTGCTCGCAAGAGCCACGAAGTCGTCATGGTGCAAACGGCCCGGAATCTGCTCACGGGCGTTATGGGCCTAGCGCATGCCTTCGACGTGGGCGGCGAGGCCCGGTCCCTACTCGCAGGCGGGCTCAAGGACAGGCTGGAGCGCTCGGACCTGTTTGAGGGCCACCGTAAGCGGGGTGGTGGGAAGGTGGCGATGCGAGAGCGGCCCGTCTCTCAACTGTTCGGCATCCAGCTCCCGAAAGTGCGAGAGGGAAAAGATGATCTCGAACCCCGGCAATGGAAGGCGGTGATGGACGGAGTGCTCAAACGCATGGGCCTCAAGCTGGGGAAAGCGATCGAGGTCAGCCGCCCGCGACGAGGGAAGGGGAAGGAGCACGAATCGGGGGCCGGAAACAGCGACTACAAGTGGAAGCTGGAGGCGAAGAACGTCCTTCGGATGGCCACGCTCGTCAAGCTGCAGGTCCGGGAGGTCCCTCGCGTCTGGCAGCATCGGCGAGAGCTGGCGCCCGCTGTACGAGAGTTCCTCAATGAAGTGGATGCCAGCGGTCTCGATTATTTATTGCGTAGGCCATCTGGTGACCCTCCGTTAGAGGACCTGGGCCCGCCGGCAGGTACGGAGGACACGGATGAGTGTATGATTGTGGTCCCATGATCGGCTATGGAGTTGTTCGTTGGAACTTGACACAACTACCGCATTGGCACAAGTCACTTATTGATTGAAAGCCCTCTAAAATCTCAAAGGAAGCTTTATGGCAATTCTTGGGTTGCAGCATGTAGCTCCCTTTTTGATCTATTGAGCGCATGTCCGACCAATTCGAGTGCACATCATTCGCTGATCACATGAAACGTTGTATTGGTTTCTTAGTAGTCTAAGACATTCGCACTTTTGTGGTATACCTCCAAGTTGTCGGACGTGCCCCCTTAAGCGGTCCGACCATTCAACGCATGATCGAGGCGTACCAAAATAAGATGTATATCTTCTTTATAAAGTAATCGGCCGTTTTGTGGTACACCTCCAAGTTGTCCGATGTGGCAGCGCGGCGCCCTTAAGCGGTCCGACCATCCTACGCATGATCCGCGCGTACCAAGAAATGGTGTGTTACTTCTTAAGAATCTAAGTGGTCCTTCTTTGGTACACTCTGAATCTTGCAGGGTATGGCTGGACGGCCCCTTCCAGCAGTCCAAGCATCCAATGCGTGATCCGCGTGTACCAAGAAACGATGTCTTTCTTTCTAAAGAAGCAATAGGCCGTTTTGTGGTACACTTCAAAGTTGCAAGGCATGGCCGATCTTGCCGCACAGTCCGATCTTCGAGCGGGTAATCAACCATATTCGGAACCCTTGGTTTTGCGGACCGAGCATGCACGCACATAGGGAGAGGGTTGGAAGACTTAGAACAATGTGGGGCACCCTCTTCGTCATCATTCTCGATTCGAAGGTCCATCATGTCCGCCGCCGCCCCCTCGCATGATGCCGCACACTCAACAGCATCCTATATGCCACAACTTTGGAAGCGGGATAAGGGTTGCTTCATTTGCCTCGAACGGCATGCCAATGCCTCAGCGACTTGCAACAAGAGCTTCATGTCGAAGCAAGCCTTGGAAGGTCATCGGAAGCGGATGGGGTGTCAGCCTTGGAAGCTCCCGAGCGATCGTGCGCCCTCAAAGTATGATGGCCTCGAGCCAAGAGCTTCCCGTCAATTGAAGCGCCAGAGCAACACCGCCGCAGTTGCAAAGTATCGCCGCACTCTTGAAGGAGAGCGCGCGGTCTTTCGCTCACGACACATGGCAAAGTACCGCATCTTGGCTCGCAGCGCCATCCCCGCTCCACCCATGCCAAAGGCACCGGAGTACACGCCCCCGCCATTGTCGTGGCTCATCGCAGGCGCCGAGCTTCTTCCATGCGAAGCCTTGGAAATGTTGGATCGTGGCAAGATTGTGTTGAGCCACAAGACTTGGTCGGTGCGCTTCCATCCTGACAAGATCAAGGTAGGTGCCACGAATTCTTCAATTCCTTGAAGTTGGAAAAAATAGCGTGTACATCTCCGAGAATTAGTGTACATCACTCAAAATATATAGTCGATTGGACAAAGATTCGTGTACATACGCACTGTTGGATTGTGACGAGACAATCCGGACGCCAAACATTAGGGTTAGTAGATTAGGGTTTGTGGGTTTGAGTCTAGATCGTAGGGTCAGGAGTAGACCCGGCCTTGGGTCGATTGTAGGCCGTCGATATTGTGACTCAATGGTTAGAGTCGGAATTGAATCGAGTTGGACCCTAGCCTAGGTTGCGTAACTCGGAGTAAGGGGAGTACCCTAGATCTGGAAGACTCTAGAAGTTGATCTGGGTATGCAGGAAGTTAGGAACGGGACCTGACATGAACCTGCATCATAATAAGAATGTGTCTACGTGCAGTTGAGAGTTGAGGGCGCCTCCCCATGTGCTTTGTGTGCACCTCTGCATCCATGTGTGCTGTCTCTAGCTGATTTCCAACAGGTTATGGGCCCACCATTGCAAGGGTGAATCTGCTGTGAAGTTAGCGTTGGGAGAGAAGCCGCGTGGTGTAGAGAAGTTGTCTTGTGAGAGGGTGAATTCTTGAAGCTTGAGGGAGTAGAGAATTCAGAAGGCAACGATGGGGAGCTTAAAGATCTCGATGGAGCCTCTCGGGGAGGGGAACTACCACTCGTGGTCGATCAAGATGAAGAGTTATCTTATCACCAAGAGCTTGTGGAGGGGGGTAGAAAATCCATCGGAGAACGAAGAGGAGTCAAAGCAGGCGTTGGCTCTGATAACGTTGAACGTGTCAGACCATCTGCTGGGGAGCCTGTCAGAGCTGCAAGATGCTGGGAAAGCGTGGAAGCAGCTAGAGAGCACTTTCAAGAGCAAGAGCGTGGCTCGGAAGTTGCAGCTAAAGAGGGAGCTGCAGACACTCAAGATGAAGGGAGATGAGAGTGTCACTCTCTATATCACACGGGCGCGTGATATCTGGCAGGAGCTGAAAGCTACGGGTGAGAAAGTCACTGATCAGGAGCTTGCATGGAGTGTGTTGACCGGGTTGCCTAGCTCGTTTGACGTGTTGGTAACGGTGCTAGAGACTCAGGCTGAGGATCAGTTAACGGTAGATAAGATCTTGCCTACTCTGGTTGTGCATGAGCAGAGGTTAGGAGGATCTGGAGGTTCCAGTGAGGAGAGGGACACGGCTGTAGCGTTCGCGGCCAGCGGGAAGGGTCGCAAGAGCTTTGGGGGCAAAGGGGCCTCGGGAGGTACGAAGGGCTCTGCCCGAGGGGACGTGAGTGGCGTGAGGTGCAGGAAGTGTGGGGAGCTTGGGCACTTTGCGAGGGACTGCACCCAGGAGGTCAGGTGCAACAATTGCTTGCAGCATGGCCACATGGCGAAGGAGTGCAGGAAGCCACCCACGTGTCTCAAGTGCGGGAAGTCGGGGCACGTGGCCAAGGACTGCAGAAGCGGGGGCAGTTCTGGGGGCCCGAATAAGCGGGGAGTGGCGTTTTCTGCGGTGGCCGAGGACAGGGGCGGTGCAAGCGTCGAGTGGCTGCTGGACTCGGGGAGCAGCGAACGTCTGACGGGGAACAAGGAAGTCTTCAAGACGTTCCGGGCAATCAGCAAGGTGGCTGGGCGTATCACGTTTGGGAACGGGGGGGTCCTGTATGCAGAGGGGGAGGGGACCGTCGAGCTGCAGTGCAAAGTGCCGGGTGGTGAACAGCTCGTAACCCTCACCAACGTGAAGTACATCCCAGGTATGCCGGTGAACCTTGTCTCGGTGGGTTGCGTAGAAAGTAGAGGAGCTGTGGTTGTGTTCAGGCAAGGCGGGAGTCAGGTCTTGCTGGACGGTGATGTCGTGATGGAGGCTAGACTGTCAGAGGGGGTCTATGTCATTGAGATGGCCGGGGCTGTGTGCAACGTGGTCAGGAGCGAGTCGGCGACGTTGTGGCACAGACGGCTGGGGCACGCAGGGTTCGAAAACCTAGCAAAGATGGTCGAGAACGGCTGCGTGAGCGGGGTCAGGGTTAGCGCGGATGAGTTTCGAGGGGAGTTAACCCGGGTCTGCGAGCCGTGTGTGATGGGAAAGCAAACAAGAGCGCCCTTTCCGGCGAAGAAGGAGAGCGAGACGGAAGTGAAGGGGCCCCTGGATTTGGTGCACACAGACGTGTGTGGCCCGATGCCAGAAGAGTCGATTGGGGGCAGCCGGTTCTTCGTGACGGTGCTCGATGACTACAGCAAGCTGTCGGTGGTGACGCCGATCCGGAGGAAGAGCGAGGTGAAGGACGTGTTAGAGGGGGTGTTCAACCGGTTAGAGACGGAGACCGGCAAGCGGGTTAAGCGGGTTCAGAGTGACCGGGGGAAGGAATACCTCAACAAGGAGATCAAGCAGATGTACCGGGGCCGGGGGATCATCCAGCTCGCACATCGGCTCGGTACAGTCCGAAAGAGAACGGATCGGCAGAAAGTCTTAACCGTAGGCTGGAGGAGAGGACACGGGCGATGCTGGAAGACTCGGGGTTGCCGAGCAAGCTGTGGGCGGAAGCGGTGGTTAGCGCTAACTACACACGAAACCGGACGCCGGTGAAGGAGCACGGGAAAACCCCGCTGGAGATGCTGACGGGCAAGAAGCCGGACCTGAGCAGGCTGCGGGTGTGGGGAGCACCAGCCTACATGCACGTGCCGAAGGGACTGCGCACGAAACTGGAGCCGGTGAGCCAGAAGGGGTGGTTCGTGGGATACGAACCGGATTCGACGGGTTACAGGTTTTTGCGGAAGAAAGACGGGCGGATCTTGGTGACGAGGGACCTGATCGTAGACGAGGGCGTCGCAGGGGAAAGCGTGGTGGAAGACGAGGTGGCAGAGCCCAACCCGGGGAAGCCAACCGGGGGAGAGGGGTCGGGGGAGTCTGCGCCTCGGGAGGAGAAGCGGGAGGCAGTCGAGGAGATTGACCTGCGGAGCGACGATGAGGAGGAAGACGGGCAGCGCTACCCAACGCGGGCGCACGTCGTTCCAGCGCGGTATGCCAACGTGGCGCGGGCACGTGGCGGTGACGCGTGGCAGACGGAGAATACCTCCGTCGTCGTCGAGCCGAGCTCCGACGCAGGGAAGGAGCAGGGGGGTGCTCGCGGCCCTAGTCGTGTGAGCCCCCCTGTCTCAGCTGGTGCGGGGGCTACTCCCACGGGAGAGGCCAGTGCCGGCAAACGGGGTGAGGGCCATAACACGCAAAATACGTTGGGAGGCCAAAATGGGGCCAAAACGTATAGTCCGCCCCTAGAGACACCCAACGAGGGTTCGGGGTTGAAAGAACCCCAGTCGTACCAGGAAGCCGTAGGGGGAGAGCAGAGTGAAATCTGGCGGCAGTCCATGGACGACGAGATGCGGAGTCTGCTGGAGAACGGGACGTGGGAGTTGGTCCCGAAGCCTGAGGGGGTGAAGCCGGTCCCGATGAAGTGGGTTTACAAAATCAAGCAGGACGCAGCGGGAAACATCGAGCGGTTCAAATCGCGACTGGTGGCGAAGGGGTTTCTCCAGCGGCAGGGGGTGGACTTCGAGGAGGTGTACGCGCCGGTGTCGAAGCACACGACGCTGAGGGCGTTGCTGGGAGTCGTTGCGGCGAGAGACTTAGAGCTGCACCAGCTGGACGTCAAGACGGCGTTTCTGAACGGTGAGCTGGAGGAGGAGATTTACATGCAGCAGCCGCAGGGGTATGAGCAGGGTGGACCGAAGACGGTGTGTCGTCTGAAGAAGACGATTTACGGGTTGCGCCAGGCGCCGAGGGCTTGGCACCAGAGGCTGAAGGCGGAGCTGGGGGAAATCGAGTTTCAGGCCTCTGAGAGCGACGCAGCGCTGTTTACGGGAGTAGTAGACGGAGAGCGGGTGTGGGTAGTCGTCTGGGTGGACGACATTCTGATCGCAGCGGCGGGGGAGAAGAGGTTGGCCAAGGTGAAGGCGCACCTGTCGAGGAAGTTTGACGTGCGTGACCTGGGACCGGCGGAGTACTTCCTGGGGATGGAGCTGACGCGCGACAGGCGCGCGCGCACGGTCAAGCTGACGCAGAAGAAGCTGACGAAGGAGTTGCTGGGGCGGTACGAGCTGGAGGCAGCAAAGGCGCGAAGCACTCCGCTGTCGTCGGGGGAGAAGCTGCAGAAGGAGGGGGATCCTCTTGACACCGGCAAGTACCCCTACAGTGAGTTGGTCGGGAGCCTGCTGTATCTGAGTGTGTGCACGCGGCCGGACATTGCGCAGGCAGTTGGAGCGCTGGCGCGCTACATGTCGGGGCCGACACAGGAGCACTGGCGGGCAGCGCTTGGGGTGGTGCGCTACCTGTCCGGGACAGCAGAGCTGGGAGTGACGTTCGGGGGGAGCGCAGAGCCGCTGGTGGGTTATGCAGACGCAGATTATGCGGGGGACGTGGACAGCCGCAGATCCACGACCGGGTACGTCTTCCTGGTGTACGGGGGAGCCGCAAGCTGGTCGAGCAGGCTGCAGCCCACGGTGGCAGCCTCAACGGTGGAAGCGGAGTACATGAGCGCGGCGAGTGCCGCGAAGGAGGCGCTGTGGCTGAGGAAGCTGTGTGGAGATTTGGAGCTGCCCGGGGGAGCTGTCCAGATCTACGGGGATAACCAGGGTGCGCTGCAGCTGCTGAAGCACCCGATTGCTTCGCAGCGCACCAAGCACATCGACGTGCTGCATCACTTTGTGCGAGAGAGAGTGGCTCGGAGGGAGCTGCGGTACGAGTACGTTCCGACGAAGCAGATGGTGGCGGACGTCTTTACTAAGCCGTTGGACCCGGGCCAGTTCAGAGCGTGCAGGGAGATGCTAGGGATGTAATCGAGAGGCAGTGTAGAAAGAGAGATAATGTTCGGCGTGGGGGAG